TAGATAGATAGATAGATAGATAGATAGATAGATAGATAGATAGATAGATAGATAGATAGATAGATAGATAGATAGATAGATAGATTTTTGTTTTGTTTTTTCCTTCCAGTGGCCCTAATGCTTTTTCATAATCTTCAGGACAAGCCTATGGAAATGATCATATCCTTTTATTAAAAAAACAAAGACAGGGAGACATTTGGGTCATAAATTACAAGTCAAAACACCCTCAGGCCTAAATAAGAACCTATAGAGTTATTTTTCGTTTATTTTGGAAAAGTTTCTTTTAACACTTTAATAAAATATGCCAGTTGTTTTGTATTCCTCATAGTTTTATGAAACTACTTTTTCATTGTGCTGCCTTTGTGCAGAGCGTTGATCACTGTTGGCCACATTGTTTCCTGCTGACTGGTTTGTGTTTAAAGTGTTTTTTGTGTGTGTGTTTGTGTCTTAGTCTTTGGAGGATTTCTTTATAAAGCATGTTCACTCCTTTTGGTGGACTGTCTCTATCAAAGAGCTTGAGATTGAATAAAATCCATTTAACTCCCTGAGGAAAGCTGATGCACCAAAATGGGTTCAAGTTTTCACCAGTCTAGATGAGAGCATTCTAAAAATAATGAGTTTTTTGGGGGGGCGTGGTTAAGGCACGTCACAGTTTTTTTCAAATTTCAGATTTTGTTGTAAGATTGTGACATGTTTTTAATATTTCTGCTTAAAAATGTTGGTGTTTAGTTTTAATGTTTATAAACAATATCAAGCTATTTCAATTATGTAACTATTATAAGTAGATTTACAAACCCAGTGGGCACAGACAACCAAAAAGTTATCTTGCTAACCGCTAATACGCTAACTAAAATTTTAAGTTTGCTAATGTGAAGCCTCTAAACAGGTTGCAAAAATTTGTGAAAGCTAATGCTAACTTAATTAATTTTATATGAGTTTAGGTTTGATTTGGGGGTTTTTTTTTTCTTACTTTAAAATCCTCAGTTTTGATCAGAAAATCAATCTTACCTTTACTGTATTGCCTCTGAATCATTAATCCACTGGGATAAAACCGTTTAAAAGATAACTACATCACCCAAAGTGCTTTAGAGCATTTTTCCCATCAT